TTTAGCTTCTTAATGCTGTGCTTTAACCCACTGCGCCACCAGGGAGGGCCCTCTTTGTGATTTTTAAAGTTTATTTTTATTTTGTTACATCACTGTTACTTTTTGTGCCATATTTGATTTCTCCCCTCAGGTGCAGTCCCCATACTTCTCCCACCACCACATCCATGAACCATCACCATAGTCCCTTGTGCTCTTCCCTGTCATGGCTCCTCCACTCCCTCTTCCCTGCTGACCATACCACAGATTATGGTCGGTTTGCAGGTTCTGTCTTCTTCCTGACCCTTTGCTCAGTTTTCCTATATTCCACCTATAAATGAAGCCATCAAATATTTCTCCTTTTCCTTCTGACTTATTTTGCTGAGCATAACCCCTTCCAGCTCCATTCATGTTGCTGTAAAAGGCATGAGCTTCTCTTTTTGACTGCTGAGAAGTATTCCAGTGTGTACACAGACCACATCTTTTTGTTCCATTCACCTGTTTGGAGGCATTTAGGTTGTTTTCATATCTTAGCTGTTGTAAATAGTGCTACAATAAACAGAGTTGCAGGGTTTTCTAACTCTTCATATTTTAGACATTAAATTATATCCCATTATGATATAATAAGTATATTCTAAACTTGGAAATTACTTGTTTTTATTCTCACAAAAGCCACACTTTTAGCTTTCATATAGTGATCTCCTTTACATGATAGTTTATTGCAGGAATGAAATGTTTCCCAGAAGCTTTGGTATGTATATTGATGGCTTGTAAGGGAGAGAAACAGTGACTAGCTATTTCTGATCCTTTTTTCTCTACTGTCAAATCAGTATCAATACTGACCCCCAACACAAGGTAATGAGTTAAGTACTTCCTATATTATTTTCATGAAGGTGATAGTTGATAGTCTTAATTTGATGGGTATATAGTCTGGCTAGTACATAAAAGACAAATAGTACAGAATCATAGACAAGTTCTCAAATGACATTACTCAAACCAGTAAGTATGCCAGTGCTTCAGCATTGGAGATTGTAAGTCAGTGAGAATCGTTAGGAGTGATATTATTAATTAATAATTAATTTTGTATTTGAATTTATTCATTTTTTTATGGATGAGTTACTATGTTCATATTTTATACACATATTATCCTATCTCAGAAACCTTGCCATCCTACAGGCAGAAAATTTGAAGGAATATTTGAGTAACTTATTCAATCCATGCAGTAAGTACTAGAGATTTGGATTTGTGTCCCTCTTACCTGGAAACCAATCTGTTGCATTTTAATAGGCTACCATTTTCCCTTTGTTCTTTACACTATTTCAAAAAGGATGTTGGGTTTTAAATAAACTTGGTAGATTTCAGAAGGAAAGGAAAAAATACTATTGGATGTTTTTGCTCTACTCGATTGAATACAGGCATTGACAATCCTGTATTAGGCTAGTTGTAGAGAAAAAATTGTTACCTAATTATAATTATCCACAGAATTCTTCAGTTGCAGAGTTTTTAAAAGGCAATGGAGAAAAAAATAAATAGAAGCACAGATTTCAGGATAAAATGGCAAGAACAGATTTTGATATATCAATAATTACTCTAAATTCAAATGGACTGAACTTACTGGCTAGATTAAGTAGTAGAATCCAGCTTTCTGCTGTCTCCAGGCAGTGTGCCTGAGCTCCAAAGATAAACAGAGGCTCAGAGTAAAGGTTTGGAAAATAATCCTACAAGAAAATGGAAACCAGTGGGAGGTAGGCAGGACATGCATACTTTATCAGATAAAGCAGACTAACAGCTAAGAAATGTAATACATTACGGGGATGGACACTGTATAATGAATGAAGAAATAATACATCAGGAAGACATAACTCTCGTCAACATATACACACCCAATAAAGGAGCATAAAAATATCTAAGAATTTTATCTTTCCTTTTACTGAGATTACTGTCCCTACAACAGGGCAAAAGAACATTATTTAAATAGTAATAGAGAAGAAAATCCAAAAGAGATATAAAAATTTAGCAAATTTAGGTTCTGGTAAAATATATATATATATATATATATATGAAATTAGCATATTCCAAAACTCAAAGAGTCAGGAACTAATGATTAGTTGAAAGTAATAAACCATTTTCTCTTAACCACAATCATATGTCTCTTAAAATTGAAAATTTTTTAAATTTATTTTTTACATCATTCTTCATTTTGTGCATTTTTTATCTTGGTTGTAATCCTCATAGTCTTCCCACCACCAATTCACCCATGTGCCATCATCATAGTCCCATGTAATAGACAACATTCTGTTTCTTTGGGGGCAGGAGGAAGGTAGATTATATGTTTACTTGAGATTATGTCTTTATAATTTTGACTTTCTAAATGGATATTTTCAGGTGTGGGATACCACATAGTTATGGTAAAGGAGCCTCATTGTAATGTTACAGAAATATCTGAACTGATTCTCTCTCATGTACCAAGTGCCAGATTGGAGAACAATGTTGCAACTGAATTATCATTTGTCCTACCTAAAGAGTACACACACAGGTATGGATACCAAAAATATTAGATAAATGGATTTATGTTACTGGAAATTATGATGTTTCCAGGTTTCCTCTGACTTGGCAAACAGATTCTCTCTCATTACCACTTGACAGATAATAGTCAAACAATTTATTTCCTGGCCTATTTCATAAATTGTACATATAAGCTAAACTTTAGTTAGGTTTGTTTTAAAGTCTGTTATTATTTAGTATTGCCTAGTGTTAATTAGTGATAAAATATGCTGAATTATTGGTATACTTTTTCTTCAGGTGAGTGAAATCAAGTGAATTATTAAAATAACAGAGAAAAGTAGATTTTTATGGCAGCTCTTGGAACCAGGAGCTATAAACAAGAGGAAATAGGCAGTTTGATCACCACATTTAATCACATTGGATATCAAAGTGAGAAGCAATAAATAATAATTTTACTTGGAATGTCAACTAAGGGAAGAAAAAAATAAAGAGTAGGCATCATAAACTTTCAGAACCTGGACTAATTTCATCTTTTACAAGATATAATTACTAATTTAGTACTATTTTGAAACAAACTGGTTGACTATCAAAAAGAGATGACTAGAGGGAACTTCTTCAATTTGATGAAGAGTATCTTTTTCAAAATTCTCTTACTAGTGAGAAATTTGAAAATTTCCCACTAAGATCAGGAATAAGGTAAGGAATTCCTCCCTTATCACTCCCTTTCAGCATCATGCTGGAAATCTCAGCTACTGCATTAAGACAAGAAATGAAAATGTCTACAGATTGTGAAGGAAAATAACTGAAGATGACATGGTCATCTTATATAGACTGCAAGAACAGTCTTGAATAATAATAATAGAATAATCCTGTCACTGTTAAGTGATTATGGGAAGGTTGCAGGATATATAGTTAATCCCTTTCCTGTATCTCACCAATGAGCATATGTAATTTGCAATTATAAACAATTCTATTCTCATTATTCACCAATGAACAACTTAGGTATAAATCTGAAAACATAAATACACACACTAGAAGGAAAATCACAAAAATATGATGAATGGAATCAAAGAACTAAGTAAATGAGTAGAAATGCCAAGGTCTATGTTTAAGAAGACTCAATATGGTCAATGTGTCAATTCTTGCCAACTTGATCTGTAAGTCAATACAATCCTAACAAAAATTCCAGTAAGTTTCATGTGAATATAAACAAAGTGACTCTAAAATTTATATATGAAGAGACAGAAAACCCAGTCAGCCAACATAGCATGGAAGGGAAGACAAAGTGGAAAAACTGACACTAAACAACTTCAGAACCTAACTTTATTATAAAGTTAAAATAATCAAGACCTTATAGCCATCCAAAAAAAAATCTCAAATTCATTTTGGCCTAAATGTAAATTTAAAAAGACATAAAATTTATGGAAAATAACAGAAGAAAAACTAGGTGACCTTGGATATCACAATGACTTTTCAGACACAACACCAACAATGTGGGTTATGGAAAAAAAAATAACTGAAAAGATAGACTTCATTAAAGTTAAAAATATCTGTTCTGTGACAGACGATATTAAGAGTATTTCAAGACAAGCCACAAAGGAAAGATATTTGCAGAAGGTATCTAGAAAGGACTGTTATCCAAAATATTCAGATATGATGGCAAATAACTAAGGTATACAACCCAACTTAAAAACAGGCCAAAGGCTTTGTAACAGATGCCTAATCAAAGAATAATATGGATGACAATTAGGCATATGGAAAGGTGTTCCACATGATAATTCATTAGGTAAATACAAATAAAAACAGTAACATACTACACCTATCAGAATGGTCAAAAGCTGGAACACTGACACCACTAAATGCTGAGTATGTAGAACAGCAAGAGCTTTCACTCATTTCTTACAAAAATGTAAAGTGATACAGCAACTATGGAAGACAGTTCTGTGGTTTCCTACAAAACCAAACATACTCTTACATGTGATTCAACAACCACTCTCTTTTGTATTTACCCAAATAAATTTGAAAACTTATGTTCATAAAAGAACTTACATATAGATGCCTATAACATGCATGTACCATATGACCCAGCCATTCCACTCCTAGGCATCTACCCAAAGAAAACAAAGCACTAACTGAAGGAAATACACAGTCCCGTGTTCATTGCAGCACCACTTAGTAGCTTAGCTAAGGAAGGAACTTGTATTCCAAAATACAGATAAATGATTCAGAAAGATGTGCTATATATGCTTAGTTATAAAAAAGATTGATTCTTGCCATTTGTCACAACATGGGTAGAACTGGAGGGAAATTCTCGCAGGTCAATAAATCAGAATGAGAAAAATAAATACCAGACAGTATCACTCATATGTAGAATATAGAAAAACAAAGCAAAAGGTCAGATAAAGTTATTTGAGGTGGTTTTAATTTGCATTTTCCTATTGACTTTCATGATGACGAGCTTCTTTTCATACATCTGTAAACCATCTGTACATTGTTTTTGGGAAAGTGTGTATTCATATCCTCTCCCTATATTTTTATGGGTTTCTTTTGCTAGTGAGTAGAATGAGGTTTTTCATCTATTTTATATATCAACCCTTTGTCACTTAAGTCTTGCAAAATATTTTCTCCCATTCCATCATCTGTTTTAATGCTAGCTCTTTTCTTCCTTCCCTTCTTCTAGGTTTAAGGACCTGTTTTATGAACTGGAACACAGACAGGAAGAACTGGGTATTGCTAACTTTGGTGTCTCTATCACTACCATGGAGGAAGTTTTCATTAAGTAAGTAACAATGCGTATTTTATTTTGTAGGCAAGCTCCATCATATATGGGGCTATGGTAATTGAAGAAGCAGGTCCTAGATTTGCTAACCTTCTAACAATTACAAACACATCAATTTAGGCCCCTTGCTCCCCTGATGGGCTGAAGCTGCGCAGTATTTTCAGGAGTTGTCATGGGAAGGAAGACACTGAACATCCCCATGGTCCATCTTGGACACTGTTGAGGAAGCTTGAACGCCTGGTGCTCATTTGGAGGCGACCTTTGTTGCCTTCTGTTTCAGTTTCTGTGTATTACACCTAGCCAACACTAGTTTCCTGGTCATGTGACTAGGTGCAGGCATTTTTGCTCTGTGAAATGAGCTAAGGACCCAAGGCACCTAGAACCCTGGGTAAAAAGATTAGGGTTGTACCCAGCGACTTGTAGGCATAGTATAAGGCAAACCTATTAAGACAAGAAAAAGAAGCTGCTTTTCTCCACCCATAAAAACTAAAGATGACTAGACAGTTACCACAGATACTGGAGCAAAGAGCCCTGAGAGAACCCTCAATGTAATGCAAAAGTCAGATCTTCCTGATGAGGAGTTCAAAGTAACTGATGAGTTTGTCAAAGTAAAGAAAACAATGGTTATTGACAAAAACAGGAATGCAATAGAGAATATGAGACTGCTACAAATAGGTTGACAAATCTGAAAAACAGCTGACTTTAGGGCCCTCACTGGTGGCGCAGCAGGTTAAAGCACATTAAGAAGCTAAAGCCACTTCAGCATGAGTTCGATTCCTACCCTGGAGGTGACCCACAGGTGCAGCAGACCTCTCCTGACCCGCCTGCTGCTCCCCTCAGCAGTGTGCTTCGTCATTCTGCCTGTTCTGCTCCCCGCTCTGCCTCTGGTGAATCCTCTCACCACCCCTGGACCTCTGGTCTGTACCTCAGTTCTGTATGCATAAATAAACAAACTTTTTTTTTTTTTAAAAAAAGCTAACTTTAAAAACATGATAGACGACCTCAGCAGTACACAGACTGTGTCACAGTGTCAGTGAGCTGGATGGCAGTGTCGGGAAACACAAGTAGGGCAGCAAAGGGGGAGAAATGGAAATGATTTAAGAGCTCTGTAAGATAATTTAATGAGAAATAATATTCATTTATGGGGGTTCTGGAAGGACATGAAAAAAAGAAAGACTTAGTACTTATTTCAAGAAATTGTATCTGAGAATCCCCCAAATCTGGGAAAGGAACAGATATCTTGATCCAAGAGACTCAAAGAATCCCAAACAAAGTAATACCAAGGAGACACACCTGAGGACACGTTATTATCAAATTTCTGAAAGCCAATGGAAAGGAAAGAATCTGAAAGCAACAAGAGAGAAGAGTCGCCTAAGTGTTCATTTGCTTTGTAAACCATTCCAGGTATTTAGGCAGCCTGGAGGACAACATGAGAAAATAAATCTACTAGGCTGACAAAGACTTAGAAACAGAATAAAATCAAAACCCAGCTATTTGTTATCACTATACTTTTCTAAAATAAAAATTTAACATCCTCTCATAAAAAAAATACAAAGGAAGATATTATCTTAGACCTTTACTTGTCTTATAAAAAAAATACAAAGGAAGATATTATCTTAGACCTTTACTTGATTAAGGTATTTAATTTACTTGATTTAGTCACTTAATTTTATCCAATATAAAATTAACATTGTATAACCATGCTTTTTTTTTAGAAATAATTGGTGAAAATATTGCAATGGACTGGGTATTTAGGAACCAATGTTCTGGCTAAAATGATTTTTTTCTGTGTTCATATATAGAGCTAATGATATGATGGTGGTGGATAATAATGCTTTCCAGGACAAATACAGAAATGCAAACTACCAGAATGTGAATATTCAAAGACATGAAGAACAATTACATACCTCTGCCTTAAATGAAAATTCCAATGTTAAGTTTAATACAGGGGTGAGCATCTTTGCTAAGAACATAATACTGGTATATGTTTGGATGGGATAAAGGAGACACATTTCATTTAAATATTTAAATGCAAAGAAGAGTTTGGACTTTTTAGCCAAGGAAGACTGAGTAAGGAACAGGCTATAAAGCAATTCAGTTTTCTAATTTAAAAGTGAAAAAATAAAGTGCCCTGGTGGCACAGTGGGTTAGAGCACAGCGCTATGAAGCTGTCTGCAGCCACTGAAGCATGAGTTCAATCCCCATCCAGAGAGGTGACCCACATGGTGTGGCAGACCTCACCTGTGTTGCCTGCTGCTCCCCTCAGCAGTATATTTCAGCAGATCTGCCTGTTCTGCTCCCCACTATGTTTTTGCTCACACCCTGCACCACTGGCCAGTACCCCAGTTCTTGTGCGTATAAAAAATAAATATTTTTTTAAATAGTGAAATATGATAGGTAAAAATCAGATTTCACTCTTACTGTTCGTACTCAGAGTCACTTATTTTAGTTTTCAAAATTGTTCACTCAGAGTTGAGAGAGTGGCTTAATAAAAGTTGTCACTACTCAAATAGGAAAAACAGATTTATGCAGTGGGATGCATTGGTGTTTCCTAAGACCAATATTCCCAAGCCAGCATACCGTCTATTAGCAGGAGAAATCTCATTGACTTCCCAAGCATTTCTTTCATTGTTCTCCTAATTATTTGTTCTCTGCCATTTTCCCTAATAAAGATTCTGAGGCAGAAGATATGTTTGTCAGAGTTACCCATAATCATGCACTCACAAAAGGGTGAGGCCTGCTTGATACTAGACAACTAGAACATAGCATTTAAAACCAGAACTTGATTTCTGTTCTATCATTTACTAATTGCCTTTGACCAAATCATTTAACATATCTGTACTTCATTTTCACTTTCTACTGTTTTAATGAGTTACCACTAGATAAAATATGGACTCTGTGCTGGTTGGCATGAGTCAGATGCTTAAGAAATGTAATTTTCCTTCTCTCCCTGTTTTCACTTCTCTCCCACTATCCCATCTTTTTTTTTTTTTTCACCTTCCAAAAAAATATCTTTTATTTCAGTATCTTTCAGCCCTTGTATACTTATATGCCCAACTTTAAAAATCCAGGAGACACTTTTTCCTACCTTGAAGGCAATGTGAGAAAAAGTCTTCATCTAAATGCTTCCTTATTTTTTGTCAGTGACAGCATCCAAATGCTGATTCAGAAAATATTGTTAACTGATTAGGGATATTTTCTCAGGATGAATGTTGGGGCATCCAAAATGCTTAGAGATGTAAGATAAAATATGTTTTTCTTCAGCCTTCAGACACCTCTAAGGTAAAGTTTCTGTGTTCAAAACAGCAAGTTTCATTATTAAGCTAAAAATATATAATGTCAATGGCCCAAAAGTCTGGGAAAACAGAAAAAATCATGTATTTCTGAGTATTTTTCAAATTAACAACTGAACACGTTGCTTTAAATTTAAAGCTTGGGAAAAAAATATATTAAGCATACTTAATTTTACAAGTAAATTTATTTTCTGTTTCCTGACTGTCTACAACACTGTAGATCACGTGGATTAAAACTTAGTGATGAGAGTTTGATGCAAATGCACGCTTTGTGGGAATAGAGCACTTACATTCTTAGAGATTTTGTTGAAAGACCATGTTTTCATTTTGACTGAGGAAAGAGAGAAGTGATATTGTTCTGGATAGAGATGCTGTTACTGACCTAACCAGGTCATATTGCCTGTACTCAGAAAGCCAAACTCTGAATCATGAGGAAAGGTTCAGTGGCGCAGGGTGCCATGTCAGGAGAACAGCAAAAGCAGTAGCCAAGGAGAGGCTGTCTCCCAGAGTACCAAGTGCAGGAGGATTATATCAGAAAAGAAAGGACTGTGGGTACTTGCAGGAGAGGAGTTTCTTCATTCTCAAGTTGACAGTCTCTGGCTAATCAGTCACAAGACTATTGATGATATTGATTCTGCAGTAATCGCTCCTTCTGTGGTATCCGTTAAAGCACCCTATAAATATCCTTCAGGCACTCATGCCAGCATCTTTAGAAGAAACAGAAATAGTTGGCTCAGCACTAGACATCCCGTCATTGCAGTCCTAGGGACTGCCATGCACCTAGAGCAGGGCCATGTCATGCTTCTTGGTTCAGGCCCAATCACAAAGCCGTAGCCTTTCGGGGCTTTTGGTATAATTCAACTAGCAGCCAATCTTAAATCCTATTCATCAACACATACCAATAAAAAGTTGTGCTCGTTACCTTGACTGGTAACTAGGACTGTGTTCTGTTCAAGGATGGATTGGTAAAAATGTTGATGAAGCAGTAACGACCATTGCATTAGGTTCTGTGAACACTGTAATGCCAGCTCTCTCTCCTCTTGTCAGTGGCCACTTCACTGCCAGCAGTTCTATGCCATGTTTATGAAGAAGGCACTCTTCTCTTGGCGCAACTGGAAATTAACGTTATTGCAGTTACTGGGATTTCTGGGTCTGGTTTATTTCATGAATAGTGGTGTGAGAATTTCCATGCAAAGTGATGAACCCGCCAGGGAAATGGATTTGCAACAATATGGCAAAACCATTGTGCCTTACTCAATTTCTGGAAATTCTGATTTTGAACAAAATTTAAGAAGTAATCTTGAGATCTTGCTAAAGGCTAAGAACCAACAACCTCAAGAAGTACAAGGTGAGACTCTTTAAAAAGGGGGGTGGGGTGGAACTACTAATAAAGACCTGCTTGTGTCACTTTCAAAGTAAAGTCTTAACGGGAATATTTAACTACTTGCTCTTTTTTTCCTTTGTTGGTCACTAATCTCACAAAGTCAGTCAAATAAAAGACAAGAATCATCAGTCTAGTTTACTGGAGGTATTTGGAAGTGTGGATTATCTGTCAGCCATTTGCTGCAACTTTTAGGGAATGAATTAAAGTGTCATAATATTTTCTTTTGTAACATTTCACTTAGAATCCCACATAAAATGAAGCTCACAGTGTGGTCCTAAATCCTGAAAGGCAACCATGTACCCGACATTGGCCCTATCTACACACACAAAAAAGGTTAAGCTGAGGGTTTTGTGGGCAGGCGACTCAGAACGTAATTGGAGAGCAGGAATAGTACTAACTACATATGTGGACACATGCTTTTGGCAAAACTTTTTCTAAATACTTCAACCATATATGCTAAAGTTGGGGACATTGAAGTTTAGGTGTTAAGTTACCTCAAATCATGATTCTGTTATGTATCCGAGCAGACAGTGGTGGTGCTGTAGCAGTAACACCTGAAGAGGAAATCCTACACTATAAAATGCAGTGATGTAAACCAGTGTTAACTCATAGACTGGCCTGTTACTCATTCTTTCATCATCTTAAAGGTGTTTTAACTAAAAAATATTCAAGTATAACTTTGAGCAACATGGCAGACTAGGAAACATTCTTTTTCCACCATAGAAATAGCTAGTAGTTTGTATTTCAATAACTTTTTTAAATCAACAAGAAACTGTTAGCCAGAAGAGACATTCTATGGGGGTTGAGGAGGGACTAGGATCAAAACAGGTGGGAAGAGCACATGGGACTATGGATGGCACATGGGTGAAATGGTGGTGGGAGGTCCACAGGGATCATTACCCAAGATGAAAAAATATACAAAATGAAGAATGACATACACACACACACACACACACACATTTAAAAATATATATAACAATTTAAAAAACAGCTAATAAACAATTAGATACACTTTATAGGCTACGAGGCATAAAAATCACACATTTCTTTGCCTTCTCCATTCTAGGAGCACTAGATGAACACCAACTCACCAAGAATGACGTAGTTGTCTAGAAAAGGGAACACAAGATAAATCTAAACCCCAAGGAGCATTTCCTTCTAGGTGTTCCATTTACACCTTCAGCTGCTGCTTGGTGGACAGTTACTTTAGGTCACTGGCAGCCGTGCGTCTGGGGAGGCTCTCTTCCTTCTATCCTTTGTCCATTCCTTTTATCCGTTGACTGATGAATAACCTTGGCTGCTGTTTAGCGGGAGGGTGGTGCAGCAGCATAGAGCAAGTTCTCATCTTTTCAATTCCTAAAGGAAGAGTCAGCATTTTTTTCTGCAGAGTCATTATAGTAAACATGATATATTTTGAGTTCATATATAGTCTGTTGTCTGTCTTCTCCTTTCCTCCCACCTTCCTCTTTTTTTCTTTTTCCTTTCTTCCACCTCTTCCTCTTCCTATTTTTTTTCACATCATAAAAGTGTAAACGTAATCTTAACTTAAGAGCCATGAGCTACAGTTTGCCAAACTCTGAAACTGAATATAAAGCTCACCTCTATGAATTTCTCTCTCTGGATCCTGCATTTTATGTTGTAATTGTCTGGGTAACCTTCTTGACCTGTAGTGCTTAAGTTTCTACAGCCTTTTGGTAGAGAAAAGTAATATATAGAATGTTGGGCTTATTTAACATTCAACATTTTCCCACCAGATAGTTGCATTTACAAACCTAGTTGCTTTGGTAAATGTCAGATTCCCAAATATTTATTTTGTTTTTTAATTAAGCCTTCCTAATCTATCTGCACAAAGTTTTGACTTTCTCTTAGCTAATATGTCAAACCTAGAAGTGAAAGTCCTTACAAATCAATTTTAAGACAGAAAGTGTTAAGAGGGTAAAAGAAACTGAGAAAGTTAATACCTGGTAGAGTGTATTTTTTCAGTGAAAGTGAGCTGAAAGGGGTGAGGTTTATTAACAGAATAGAATTCTTGAAGTGAATGGTCAAGATCTGTTAGAGCTGTGACGAGACATTGGAAATGGAAGAAAGTATGAAGCAAGTGAATTTACTGGGCTCTGCCTCTCCAAAATACATAGTGAGCGAGTGCTACAAACTGAGCCCATGACCATGTTTTCTCTTTGCAGGGGACCTGGAGAAGTACTTGGTGGAAAATAAAAAATGCATTTACTCATGCATTGTTGCACTTTCTGTTAAGGTTAATGGAAACCAAAAAAAGGTTACCATTTGGTTCAACAATCAGGCATACCACTCACCATCATTATCACTGGCAGTGTTAGACAATATTGTCTTTATGACATTTTCTGGTCGGGATGCTTCCATTACACCCTCTAACAAACCTCAACCTTTTGTTACAATAGCTAAATATGAGAAAAGGTATGTACACTTTTATTGTTGGAATTGAATTTTATGCTTTGAATAGATCCCTTCTTCCCTGTCTAATTATGCTCTTAATAAAAAGTTAATTTAATAATTAATAAAATAACATAATACATAGTAAATAATGTTAAAATTTATTATTAGAAATTAGTATTTTCCATTCTTTTGAGAAACATCCCAAATGATGGCATTGTCAGATAACTTTACTTACATTTGAAATTAAATGCAATATAAATGCTCTTGTTTTATAATTTGTAGAGGAAATCTGAGCCTTAAATTGTTCTTAATATTAATAAGCTTGATGGAATTAGTAATAATTCATTCAATGTGATGATAATCTGGAGGGAAGCCAAAAGATTTGATCATCTGATCTGAACTGATCTATGCCTTGACTCATGGGATTAAACAAGATGATCAGTTTATTAAAATGCTCCATCTCTGCATAATTGGATATATTTACTAAATACTGTATTTGCTTTTCTCTGTGTTTGTTTTTGTGTTTAATAAATTTTTTATTTAATGACTCTAAAAAAGAAATAGTATTTTCCATTTGTTGCTTCATCAATGTTTCCTTTTCATTCTTCATAGACAAATGTTAGGAATCCTTATAGCCTACAACCTGTTTTTTGGCATAAGCATTTTTATCAGTGGCTTTTGTCTGCTGGTAGTAAATGAGAGAATAACTAAGGCAAAGCACATTCAGTTTGTGACTGGGGTCTATACTTTTAATTTCTGGATCTCTGCTCTGTTATGGGACTTCATCACCTACTTCATTTCCTGCTGCTTGCTGCTGGTGAGTGTCAGACAGATATTGCAGTCTCAGTGTGCAGTACCTGCTAGAAAATTTCCACTTGGCTAATATTATTCTAAATTGCTCAAGAAAGATGAAAATGTTTAGCTCATTATGCCAGAAAATCCACTGTGGAGTATGTGCTACAGTGACACATACATATTTTCTCCCTCACATTCTTTTTTTTTAAATGAAATGTGAGTTGACATGTAAATGGACCTCTCAGGCTGCCCTCGGACATACTTGCTCTCCCTATTGCACTGTTCCCAAAGCTTCTGTACAGGTGCCAGTACCTCATGGTTATGCCAGAGACAAAAGCTTTTGGGTAATAAATAGTTCTATGCTGAAACTCGGGAAAGTGTTTCCCTCTCTAAGCTTTTTGTTTGGGGTTCTTAGGCCTTGCATAGTTTTCTCCACTTTGACTATACTCTACTCTCCATGTCTCAGTTGGTGTTCCTGGCCTGTGGTTTGGATTTATTGATCAAGAAAAACAACATCGTGGTCACCTGGGTCATCTTGCTGCTGTTCGGCTGGTCTGTCATTCCCTTCATGTACCTGATGAGCTTCCTATTTTCTAGTAATTCCAATGCCTACATCAAGCTGATCTTAATTAACTACTCTGCGGGCGTATTCGGTATAATATGGGATCTCATAACTGGACCTTACAGTAAGAGCATCACACAATTTCCCCTGTCCATGGGAATAAATAAAGAGGAATGGGCTTAATGATAAGAAAGTGGAAAATATCAAGTTGTTCTGGGTTTCTAGGAAAAACTTGTGCTGTTTGTGAGTGAATAACATTCATTATTGAAGTGTCACTAATGTTAGAGGCATTGTGTTAAGAACATTGCCCAAGAAGTTAGACACTTCCTTTCACTAGCCCAGCTGCCTTCCTTCCGGTCTTTCTTGCTCAGGATTAGTAGAATATTTATCTTTATACTTTTCTCTGCTGACTTTGAGATAAGATTGACTATACTGGCAGTGATAACAAATAGGCATTTCTTAAGAATCAAGTGTTGCCACTTGTTTATTAAATCGCCCTGCCAATTTTAACTTGACCTGTTGTAACATTAACTTGACCTGTTGTAAATAGTGCAGTCAGGCTTGCAGGAACAGAGAGGAATGGACTCCAGCCCCCTTAATGATTTTAGATCTTGCCTCCCACAAGAGAATGACCTGAGTTCCTTGAAGACTCATTTTAATATCCCTTGCATCCCGCTTCAAGGGGGAATATTGAGCTCCATGAAAAGGAATTGATCTCCAAACAGTAGATTAAAAAACATGTAGAAGTAGCTGTGATTTTGGTGCTCTTTCTTCCGGAGTTAATCACATTGCTGTCACTTAATCTCTATGTTGTTTTCCTATTGCTATTGGAACAATTACCACACGTTATATAAGTTATACTATCTATTACCTTAAAGGTCTGTAGGTAAGAGGTAACATAGCTTTCATTGGGCTAAAATCAAGATGTACAGGAAACTGCATTTCTTTCTGTAGGTCTCAGGAAATTTAGTTCCTTGAAATTACAGTCTTCATAATCAGTATTTTGTAAAAACAGTTATTTTCTTAAGCATTCGAGAGAGCTTGTCAGTGAAAACTTCAGGGCATAGGTATTTTCTTTTCAAAAAATGTTATTGCTGATTATAATTTTAATGTCTTCATGGTTTAGAACAATAACAATTTCTTTTTTTAAGATCTATGCGTACAGAACTGGGGTACAAGCAGTAGGTGGGGGCTGGGAGGGAGAGGGTTCACCAGAGACAGAGTGGGGAGCAAAACAGGCAGATCGATGAAGTACACTGATGAGGGGAGCAGTGGGCGGGTCAGGAGAAGTCTGTGTGTCACCTCTCTGGCTGGGGATTGAACTCGTCTGCAGTGGCTGTAGATAGCTTCATGGTGCTGCACTTTAACCCATTGTACCACCAGGGAGGACCTGGTAGAATAACAATTTCTTACATTTTCTTGTGAAACTTTTGATAAATGATCTCTTTCCAAGAATTTTTGCATGTCATGCAATTTTCTAAAACTGTTGCTATAAAGTTGTTCATAGTGTTTCCTTGGGATACTTTAGGATCTGTAGACAAATACTGACATCTCTTTGTTTATTCCTGATATTTCTATTTTCATTTACTGCCTCCCACCCTTTCACGCTCTTTAATCCTTTTAGGATTACCATTTAAAAAGATATTTTCTTATAAAGAAACTTTTTGGCTTTGTTAACATTGTCTGGCCTGTTTCATGGATTACTGTTTTTATACTTAGTCTCCTATTTACTTGGGAGTCAACTTGCTGTACTCAGCCTTAACTCTGAGGTCAAATATTATATGAGTTAAATCTCTCTTTGGAATGTATAAATGCATTTAAAGCTATAAAATTCCTTCTAAGTACTATTTGAATTTTATCTCACAAATTTTGATATTGTATTTTCATCATTGAGTCAAAAGTACTTTTAATTTCCCATAACTTCTACATGGACTCATGCATCGTGTACTAAATCACTTGGTCACTTTCTAGATTTTTGTGCCTACTTTCTTATTTGCTTCTATTGTAGAAAAAATATATTTCACTTATTATTTCAACCTTTTACAATGTAGTTATGTTCCAGGACACCTTTAAGGCTCAATCACCACTGAGCTAAAGTACAGAAAATGTTAAGGTCCCACTCAAGATAGTCTTTGGTTCTAAAATCTCCTAAAAGAGGACCCTCCCTGGTGGTGCAACAGGATAGGATGCAGCACTGCAAGCTGGCCACAGCCGCTTCGGTGCAAGTTCAATCCCTG